AAAAACTGTGTTTCCTTTTCGTATATAAAGAAATGTAGAGACTGCAACCTGAGCAATAGGAATGCTCACTGCTACTGAGTCTATCACAGTTTCCAGGTCTTTCAATGCACAAAGCTAGAAAATGTTCTCTTTCTTCTTTCTAAGATAACATACATTTTGGATTATACTAATACCCTAATCAAAACCAGTGCTACAGGATTTGTATGTAAGCTTATCAAACTCAGATCTTGTTTTACTTCTTCCCATGCCAAAAATCCCAGTTCTCAATGACAGCAATAGATTTGCACATTGGCTTCATCTCAAAAGACATACTCAGTAATCTTACACTAACACTACCACCAACAGCATGATTGTTGAAAAGAATGTTAAGATTCTTCTTGAAGTTGTTTTTTTGTTGTTGTTTTGATTTTTTGTTTTTGTGTTATAAACCCTGGGAATGTTCACTAAAATTATTGTGTTTTAAAGTCACTTGGTATAGTTTCTCTCTGGTTATACCACTAAATTTATATATAATTAAGTGCATTTGTTCCATTTTTCTTTATATTTTCAAATATTTAAAAAATTTTAATATGTTTTAAATCATTTAAAATTGATGTCCAAAACAAGGTCTGTATATTCCTATATCCCCTCCTATTCCGTTAGCTGTCAATTTACATATTTTTAAAGAATTAACATTCCTTTTTTAATTTATAAAAATATTAAAATTTTATCTGTGTATGTGTATGTATTTCTCCCTTCTTATATAAGCATCAGCATATTATTCACACTTTTCTCATCTGCTTTTTTCATTTACTATAACCTAACGGTTGCTTCATAACTGTTTATAAAACTGTGCCCTATTCCTTTTTATAGCTGCATAGTACTCCATTGTGTGGTGAGCCATTGTTTATTTTACCAGTCTTATATTGATGCACATTTGGGTTTTTTCTTTACTTTTGCTGTTAATTAGGTTCTAATGAATATCTAATGAATACCTCTCTTTGCATTGACCCCCAGCATATTTTTAGGATAGATCCTACAAGTAGGATTGCTAAATCAAAAAGTAAATCCAGGGCTGCCCCAGTGGCATGTTGGTTA